TCCATGGGCATTGCATAACATGGATGCACTTACATAATAAATGCAGGCAATACACTCATATGCATATATTTTTAACTCCCCCAAACAAAAAAACTTAGATTTATTTGGCTCATAGCTCTGGGGGTTCCGTCCCTGATCAATTGATCCACGGCTTTGGGCCTGTGATGAGGCAGTACATCATGACAAGAGCCAACAGCAGAAGAAAACTGCTCATCTCATGGCTGGGGAGCAAATCAGAGAGCAAGGAAAAGACTGGAGCCCCATAATCTCCTCCCAAGCTCCCAGTGACCTCAAACCCTCCCACCAGGTACCATCTCTCAAATGTTCTACTACCTCCTCGTCCTGGGGACTGAACCTTTAAAACATGGGGTTGGAGGGCATTTAAGATCCAAACTATAGCATCAACTCCCCCAGTACCCTGCTATTAGAAGAAATAAATGATTGTTGTTTGTAGGACAACCCAGTCCACGGTCTCTTGATGTATCAGCCCAAACAGACTGATGCCCACCCTTGAGCCAGTCTGCCACTCCTGCATACAAAGCAGTTGTTACAGAACTAAAGTGATGAGCCCTCTTTGCCACTTGTACTATACCAGGAAACTGGAATGCATTATTTCACTGAAGCCTGGCAACTGGAGGAGGAGGGCCCTGCTATGAACTCCACTATAAAGAGAACAGAGTCTTGAGGAGAATACATAGTGTGCATGGCTCCTTCATGGTGAGACCATCACTATAGCTGGAGTCTGGCATCAGACACAGCAGAGGGGCCAATGGCTGACAATTCTTCACAGAGCGCCAGCTCCGAGGCAAAAGAGCTCCACAGTCCTTCCGAGTGGACCATATGAACGACTGTTACTTAATACACCATGAATGATAAGGCTCAAAGCTAGTTGTGTCCCCTCCCCCAGACCCTGCAGCATCTATCTCTTGAGGTCCTTGGGTTGCCAGCATGTGACCTGGCTAGTTTTGCGACTAGGGGCATCTTGTCAGGTTGTCCTGCCCCTCACCAGTCCCGAGGGTAGGGCTGCTGTCTGAGCATTTGTGGTGCACAGAACTGATTAAGAGCACTGGAGACAGATACAGGATGGAAGAATTAAGACCCAGAGTTAGGTGGCAAGGGCTTGCTCCTTTCACCCAGTTCCCCTAGGGGACTCTGGCACAACACAGCCTTCTGTCTCCACAGACCTTGCTTTTTCCTTTTGTCTGCTTTGTGGCAGTTGAAATACCGAGCTGTCATTGCCTTCTTAGCCTGCAGGAAGTGTAACAACTGCTATCTACCACAAACCGCCGAAGCCTTAAATTACGGCAGGAACAGTGACAGTGATAGATTAGAATTTTAAAATCAAACCCAAACGTGTCCCCATCATGGGAAGAAAGGGGCCCAGCTGACTTGAAAATAATTTACTTAGAAAATTTTGTGGTACATGGTAGGTTAAGGCCCCTCCCCCTTCAGCAGACTTACTTTTTCTTCCCCAGGAAAGTATTAGTCTACTTAATTGATTCTCAAAGACATCCCTCTAGGACTTAAAATTATTACCACTAGGGAGAGATTGACATGGTCCTGCAGGGCTTCTAGAAGCAGCATGGACAGTTCATTGGGAAATTTTCAAAGGGCTGGAGCAGGGAGATTGGTTCAGTATTAAATGGGCTTTCTGCTCCAGCCTTGAAAGACAGAACTGAAGAGCAAAGGGAAAATCATCAGTGACAACAGCTAATGAATTTTAAATAGTTAGGACAAGGAAAATTAATTTGCTAAATTAGTCTTGTAGATACAGGTTAAAAAATGAGTCACTGTCACCTCAAAGCATGAAGCTCAGACCAACTAACAAAGCTCACATTCGCCAGCCAGGTGGAAGATCGTGTCCCCAGCTGAGCACCAGCTGGAGGAGCCAGAGCTGCCCTCCACCTCATGCTTGCTGAGCTCATCAAGTGTCAATTCAGTGGGTCTCTCTGCTCTGGGTTATTTTATAAGCATCTTTGTCTGCACACCATGTGAGTATACCCACTGCTCCCAGGGCCATTGTGAAGACTGATCTCACAATGGAAAGAAAGTACCTTGCAGACTGGCATGCAGAGGGAGCAAAGGAGCTTGCCCAAAGTCACATGCCTGCTGAAAAAGGGTGGTCCGACCATTCCTGTGAAGGAAGGGGGTGGCAGGCCGGCACTAGCCTGGGAACTGGTGGAGGCTGATGACGGCTGGCTGAGGGAGAGTAGACTGTCTTTAAGATCTCCAGATAGGCTGCAGAAGGACAGCCAGTGCAGAAGTTAGAGAAGCTGCAGGATTACTTGAAGAAAGAGCTAGGGCCTTCCAGGCTCCCCAGCTCCAAGTGTCACAGGTACTCTTGGCTGCCCTGGTGCTGTGTCTGGTCTGACTGGTCTTGGAACGTCTGCTCTTCCATTGGGTATTGTTCACTCTTGTCCTCACCTTAGTTCCATGTGGCAGACCTTGCTGCTGCCCCTTCTCCCCCAACTTGAACTTGACCTCCCCCATTTCTGCTCTGCTCTCCTCATTTATGTCCAGGTTGACAGACAGGGAAGGTCTAGGAGTTATAAAAGGGCCTCTGGTCTGCACTCAACACCCAGAGAGCATCACTTTCTAGTCTTATCTCACACAATCAACCATCTTCTCAGCTGTAAAAGTGAGGGAAGAAGAAGACAGAGTGATGCTGGTTACAAATCCAGTGGAAGAACTTGCACCAAGAGACAGTGGTTACAAACGCTTGATTGGATAGGCCTTAGCATATATGACAGAATGTGTGTTTGGGGGAGGGGGTCTGTGAAACTGGTGAAGCTAGAGGAAGTAGTCCAAATATGAGTAAGATGTATAAGATGTATTGTATGAAATGCACAAAAATGCAATAAAAATATGTATTGTGAAAGCCTAAAAAACAAAATAAACAAACAAAACCCACCAAATGCTGACTGGTCATGTGTGGACTCAATGTGACCTTAAAAAGTTACTTAATCTCTCTGTGCTAACAATTCCCCATCTCTAAAATTCTACTGCTGACACCTAATTCACTGGACTGCTGTGACGTGAGGACATTTGCATCTGGCATTGGCGAGGCTCTGCAGAGGCGGCTGTGGCTCAATTCTACAGGAATACAGGTAGTTGACAGAAGGAATCCCAGCACACACTGAGATCCAGTCAAGCAAATACCTAACAGAAAAGAAAGCAGGGAGGCAGGGTCCTGTCAGCCTTTCAGCATAGGCTTTGCTTTGTCTGACATAATAGACAAGTTGGGTTTCTAAACTATCTGCTAACAGCCACGGAGGTGGGGTGGAGAGGACCCAAGGGAAAAGCATGAACAAGCCTGTGTTTTACCACTGGAACATGCCATTTGCGTCAGCAAAGCACCCCAGGAAGGAAGCTCTGGAGAACCAGCCCCACCCAGATATCCACCAGGACATGGGTAGCCAGGACCACTGGCAAGCCCTCAGCTTCCTCTCTCCATGCTTCCAGTCATGAGGACAGCCCATGATGTCCACATGATGGGGCATAACCATATGGGCTTTGCTCCTGAGGGGCCTAGGGTGGAGGAAGCTTGAAAGAAACTTTGAAGAGCAAGATGGGCAGCACAGGCAGGGGGTGGGCAGAAAGCGTTCCCACTTGGCTGGCACTATGAAAACAATGTGCCTCGAGTTAGTGATGCCTCCTGCAGCCACATATGACAAGGTGCTCCAGAGCCTCTGCTCTCTTGCCTCCTGCTAGTCACACCCCTTCCAGGAAAGAGTACAGGATTTTGGACTTTCTGTCCCCCATTCCTAGCAATACAAGTTGCAATGGATGCCTCCTGAGTGTAGACCAGGTACCCTGCAACTTCTCAAGGCTTGTTCACTCGAGTCTGTCCATAATCAGAGGACCGGCAATCATTCCAGTTAAAAAGTAACTAAACTTGGAGTGCTCTAACAACTTGCCGAGGACATGGACGTGACAGAGCTGAGTTGGGGACAAGTTCTCTTCTTGACCTTGGACACTAGCCATATTCACAGAGACTTGTTTCAACAAGAGGCTCCCTGGAATACCGGCTGATCCTCTAACCTCAGTCTACCAAATGACCACTGCCAACCAGGGTTTATGGAAGAAAACCACCCTAGATCACCTCGCACCCTCATCCTTCTTGGAGTTGGCTGGTGGCAGATCTTTTACACCACCCTCTGCAGCTACCTCCACCCCAGGATGAGTGGAAACGCTCTTCACCCATTGTCCAGCCCACACTGGGCCACAGGGTTCAGCTACTCTTTCCCACACCAGCCGCAGAGCAGAGCCCATGTGGCTCAGAAGGCCCTACCACAGGTCACTAGCTTTCTCTACTCATGCAGGCAGAGGGCCCTTCATTCCTCTGATACCAGAGCACTTCTCCTCCTCTCTACGTCAAGACATTGCTTTTCCTTGTGCTGAAACCCCACCCTAGATGCAGAGGTGTGGAGGGGGCGGGAGTCCTGCAGAGATGAGGAGGTAACAGGGAGGCCAATGTGGGTTTCAAATTTCATCCTCCCCACAGGAAGCTGCCACGGTCTCTGCACCAGTTTCTGCATCCCAACACACAGCTCCCCTGGAGAAGCATTCCTAGAGGACATAGCAAGGACCTCTGTGAGCCAGACACAGGGACATCAGCAGAGCCAGGGTGGTCAGGATGGGCGGACTTGTCTGCATCCCTCCCTCAACAAATATAAGAAGTGTTTAAGTAACACCCAGGCTGGGGTCTCGGTCATACAACACTACCCTGAAGGCTGTCACTTACAGCATTTCCTTTCATTCACATGGACAGAGCACTGCTGCTGCTTGGCTGGTTGGTGATCAGAGATTCGGCACTGGGGACAGAGATTAACCCCAGAGACATGACCCTGAAGCCAACCTAAGAGAGGAGGGCATCACCAGCAGCAGGACAGAGCCTGGGTCTAAGGCAGGTCCTAGCCCAATCTTGACATGGGTGGGATAAATGAAACCCACCCAAGAAGGGCAAAGAACACGGCAGGGAACTTGTATTCCACCCACCTCACCACAGAATGGGAGGTGAAGGGAGAAAGTGCATTTATTTCAAAAGCAAAAGAATTCCAAGCTGGGCCCCTGTGATGGGGAAGTGGTCACTCACTTGTCCCAATGCCCCTGCATCGAGGAGGGTGGGGCTCGGTGGAAAAAGCCAGGGCAGTCCCACCCATCCCACCAGGTGGTGACTCAAAAGCCATAAGGCCACTTGCTGTATGGTGTCTCTCCCCTTTGCCTACCGCACAGTGGGCCCAGACGAGGATGAGCACCTGGAGGGTCAGGGACTGAGGTTGTGATCAGAGAAGATGCTGATTGGGGATGGGAGTCTCTGGACCCTAAAGCAAGGGAGGGGCAGGGCAGAGTTGATGTAAAGGTCTTCTGGAAACAGAGGATGCTAGGTCAGAGGTGGGAATCTGTGCTGAGGACTGGGGTTCTGTATTGCTGGTGATACACTGGCCCCGACCACCCAAAAGACAGTGTGGAGAATACCTGGGCCCCTGAGCAAAAAAGACAAGGACAGTGTTACTCTGCAGGCTTGGAAGGCTGGGTGGCCTCCTTGCCCTGGTATTCCCAGTGACCAGGAAGCCTAGCTGCCGCCCTATGCCATGCAAGGAGGCTGGGATCCTCTAGAGTTCCGGGGCTGGCTGCTCCCCAGCCTGCTCCTCCATGGGCTGCACGGCCTCCTGCACATACACGATGAACTCCGAGGCCTCCCCGCCCTGCGTGTACACGGTCACGGTCTCGATGCCCTCCACATCATCAGAGGATACCACCAGATGGTGCTGCTCGGCCAGCTCCACCGAGGCCTGTTGGAGCGCCTCCTGGATCATGACTGTGTGGTTGGAGCTGGGTTCCTCATCAGTGACCTGGGAAAGCAAGAGAAAGGTGACACAGGTCCAGTACCAATGACAAAACCAGAACTCTGCAGAGCAAGGTTGTCCGCCCTGCACACAATCTTCTCAGCAGTGCTGAGCTACCTCATACATACCCATGTCATGGAAAAGGGCAGTTATGGCTCCATGACACATAGTGACATGTTTAGGGTCCCTTCCATGGGCAAGAGGTGGGACCCAGGTTCACAGCCCACACCCAAACTCCTTTCCTGAGGCCACGCTGCCTCCTTGGTCTTCCATGAGGTCTCAGGTCACTAGCTTGAGGGTTGGAAGGCACTGTAGGGATCACTCAGGTGGGAGGCTCCTAAAAATGTGCAGCTGGCCCATTTGGTACTGCTGAAGAGGCTAGGTTCCTGCCTGCAGGATCTGCCTCCACATACTCTGGGCACTCTACCCTGCATGCAGCCATCCAGCAACACCGATACCCTAGCCATTCTGGGGAGGCTTGCTGTGTTGGGCAGGGTGGGGGCAGGGAGGGGACTATCTAGTAGTGGAGGGCACCAGGTGAACTCTACACCAGGCCTTTCTTGGTATCTCTAAGATGGCAGAGTCCAGGTGAGGCCAAACTGCAGCCAAAGCTAAGGTGCCATGACCCTGACTCTGGGTTGTTTGTAATAACAACCATCGTTGACCTGAGAAAAGGAGTGAAAGGCATAGCCAAGGCTTAGGAACAGGAGAGAGCAGACTGCAAAACTGAAGAAGAATGCACAACAGTCCCAGGAGGATGGCAAAGGGCTGGTGTGCAGGACCTCAGGCTATGGTAGATGTTGGCATGGCCATCCTCTCTCAGGAGTCATCCTCCCTTGAGTGGCAAGGACGAAGTGCTCCACCCTGCACACTGGGCAGGTGCGAAAACTGGGCAAGACATTCCCTACAACCCTCCGCTTATTCATCTGAGAAAGAGGGAATGGTGTGCCCACCTCAGAAGAGGACCAGGAGAATCACAGGAAACTACATGCAAACTGGGTGCTGACTTGCACCACTGTCTTCTGACATTCATTCATTCACACATTTTCTTAAATACCTTCTGTCAGAATCTGGGATACCAGTTAGTCTCTCATTTGACAAAACTTCCATCACATTTTTGGCTACCACTAACTATAATCTCCAGGAAGGCAGGAACACCGTGTGTCTTGTCACAACTATTTCCCAAGAGCCAAGACAGATGTCTGGTACACAGTGTCAGTATGTATTGAATGCTGATCTACTGGTCCAGGCACTGTAGCGGGTGCTAAGACAGCGACACAGTACAAAGCCAGTCCCCAGGATCTCAGGACTGATGAGGAGGCACCAAGAAAAACACGACTGCACTGGAGAAGACTTCAGGGTCCCGGGCAGGAGTGCGGTGGGCTCCAGGCAGGTGGACAAAGGGAAAGGATGCCCAGGGTCCCGGGCAGCTGTGGGGTGGGCTCCAGGCAGGTGGACAAAAGGAAAGGATGCCCAGGGTCCCAGACAGGTGTGTGGTGGGCTCCAGGCAGGTGCACGAAGGGAAAGGATGCCCAGGAGATGAGGGGTATGGGGACTTTGCTCAGGCAACCGAGAGAGTGCCCATTCATGACATTCCTGACTCTTCTCTGCCCATGACTGAGCATGGTAGGTGCTTCCTACTGTCTGCCCTGCACATCCCAGGCCAGAGCCACACTTTCTAGCTTGAAGGGTCTCATGTCAGCCCTGCAGGTACTGAAGCTGCCTAAGGAGGAAGGGCTATGTCAAAAGGTAGGGTACGTTCAGTTCAGAGAGCATCAGTCAAGACATCTGTAGGTAGAATCCAGACACTGCAGTGTTGGTCCTAAAAGGTAACTGTGGGTGACAGAATCCCCCAGAAGCTGTCGAGCTATTCAAAGAGGAAACTGCTAGGTCTGTTGAGCCTGGTTCTTTTTTTTTTTTTTTTTTTAGAGTGAACCAAAACTTTTATTTCCCTTCTTTTACTGATTGTTTCTACTTCATTTCTCTGGGAAGATGTACCAGGAACCAGGACTGTAGAGGTAAATATTGATTTATTTTGAAAGACAGTATCTGGCAGGAGATTAGAAAAAGGGAAGAATGGATGATATATGCCAGGGTCTCAGGACGCCCACATGTGCAAACAAGAGAGCATGCTCTAGGTAAGCAGGTAAGCATGATGATATCATGTGACAAGCAGCAGGTGAGATCCAGGGTGAGGTCAAGTGATAGGTGAGTGTCAAGGCATGCTCAAAGACATGACAGAATTATTTGGATAAGGTGATTGTTATCAAAGTTGTACCATAAAATGTAGGAATACTGACAGAAAATTTTCACTAATCCAAACCTCTTGTCCTTTTAACAACTCTAACGCCACATGCCTAAGTATTGGGATTGAAGTCCTATACCAAAGATGAGAACTACCCTGCCCATCTCTGAGGTACAGACTAGAGCCCTGGTACCCATGACAATGTAATGAGCATAAGCACTAAGGCAGCCCCAGGTGAAAGTGGGGGTCCGCAGATAACAGAGCATGGCCACTGCCCACAGACATGGGTAGGAGATGGGAAAACTAGGGGGCTGGTTTACAGAGGCAGTGCTGGTCACAAAGAGACCATGGTGAGAAATGACATAGCAGGCAGAACATGGTGAGCAAAGGCCAAAGCTGTATCCAAAAGCCCTACAGAGACCACTGGTCACCTCCCAGAATTCCCCTGCCCCCTTCACTCTATGCTGTGAATGCCACTGATGTATCACTTTCATAATCACTACCCTTGTGACTATTTCCACAAGGCCGCACCAAGCTCAGTTCCCATTCCCCTCAGATCCAGGATTCCCCACCACTCTTCAACTGCTCATGAACCCTGCAGGATTCTGTGGTCTCCATCCTCAACATTCCCTCTGACCTTCATCCTTGCAGACTCGTCCACACCGGACTGAACAGGACTGCAGCCCCCAAGGCTCCAGAGTACGTGACCTATGTGCATGCAGGGGTTCTCAGAGACAGAGGTCCCACTGTGCACAACTAGGGCTGTGCACAGTATGGCAGAGTGAAGGTTGGGGACAAAGTGCAGATGAAGTCTGAAGTGACATTTACAGCCAGATCTTCAGGAGGTCTGAAGAGCTTTGGCCAACAGCAAGCAGACTGAGTCTTTATTTTACAAAGGAAGACAAGAGGTTTCCAAGAAGGGACCTGCCTCATCCCGTCTGTGGCATGTGATGAGTCTAAACTTGCTCATCTCGGGCAGACTCCATGAGGACTGTGCTCCTGTCAGGGTCCTAAATATTTGCATCTGCTTTGCCGCATAATCTTTTCTAAGCATTAAGTCCATTTAAGAGCACTCTTTCTCCATCTGTTTTGTTTCGCTTCTTAAACTTCAGGCTTGTCCAACAAAACCCAGCACTACATTTACCCACTAATTCTCATGATACAACACAATTGGTTGGGCTTATGTCACCACCAAAGGCGATAGAGATGATAGTAAATGAGCATTTCACAGAAGACTTGCCACAGGCTTGCTGCTGAGTTAGCACAGGTGGAGTAAGACGTGTCTGCTGCATCTTTGTTGTCACTGAGCATCCTAAACATACCTGATGCCAACTTGGGGTTCCCAGCGTCCATGTGCTGCCTGCTGGTACACCTGTTTCACACACTCAGGAGTTCCGTGTGTGGCTCTGAGAGACCTGCAGAAGCTGCTTGCACAGCTCTGACCCTGGGAAGGCTCGCCTGTGAGTACCTTATCCAGGGGACAAGCAAGGGGGAGGCTGCTGCTGTACAGAAGCGTTCATGAAACTTCCATGGGGTGCGCCATGCATTCCAAGTGTCACATGATCACATCCACTTTCCCACCAGTTTTGTAAGCCATGCCCTTCCTGCCCTGCCCCCGTGGAAGCCAATCGCTATCTGGCATTTGCAGTTTACTGAACACTTTCCCAGGCATCACCCCAACTGCTCATCCATACTGCAACTTGGGCATATCTGCTCCCTCTTCACAGACAGGATCACTGAAGCTCCTACCAACCCAGTGACCCATCTAGCCATGCAGTTCACAAGTAGCAAAGGCTCATCTGGGTCTACATGATCCTCAGTCTAGAGTTCCTCCTCGGCTGGTGCAGTGTGACAGTGACTAAAGGCATCGTACACTACAGACGGACAGGGTTGAATTATTCTCTTTAGCCATCAGAGGCAGACAAAGGTTAGCTGTGCAGCTCTTACCATTCTCTTTGTTCAAAATGATCACTTTAGTCGCTTAATCTATTATCACAGGCTTAAAATTGTTCTTTGCAGCAGAAATAATATGGCTTTCACGGTGTCATTACCCCCTGAGATGGATACTCCATTTTCCCCAAATGCTGTATCTAACATGTCTTTCAGCTAAATTATTAGCAGCACAGATAGCGTAATAGAAAACCTTAACCCAGGGGCCCGTACAATTATTCACTGATCAGATCTATGCTCTGCACTTCTGCTCAAGTGTTCTGGAATCTGGATGAGACCCTGGGAGTGACCTGAGCACTTGGCAGCTCTAGCAATGCCTGGACAGCAGCATCCTGTGAGGATCCTGTCTCTGCCCTCATCCCACCTAGTCCATTCTGAAGCTGGAGGGAGGTTCGTGGGATGCCATGTGATCCAAATGCCTCCAGTTGCTGCCTCCTAGTTTCCACATTCCTCTCCTGTCTTTTTGTCTCCTTCGGCTCCCCTCTCTACTTTCTACATAAGATCCATCTCTAGCAGCTTAAATGTTTTCTTTCCTAAACTACAAAAAGAGTCCTGGAATGTTCTCTCATTCACAAAGCCCTCCTTGAGGAAGACGCAGCCCTGTGTCACACTCCTTCAGGGCTATGTGGCCCTGCATGGGCTTTGTGTTACAATCTATCTCCGAATTCTCCCCGTAAACCTGGAGCATCACGGGAACGAGAATAGCACTGAGGCACTTGGCCGCTGGCAGGGCCACTTTCAGAAGATGAACAGGTGCTAGGGACAGCCCCAGAGCCACGTACAGGCAGAACCTGGAGGAGCTAAGGAACCC